ACAGAAGAATTCTTGACTAACTAGCTTATCCAACATTTAATCAATGAAAGGTAGAGGAAAATGGTCTTTTCGCATGCTTGCATTCAATTTCTAATAATCCATGTACACCCTTCACCCTATTACAGTGCTCGTAGGGATCAACTCATTGTGGGTGTTAGTCACTATAGTCATACCGCCCTTTTTAAGGACACATTGGACTAGGCTCACCCAAGAACTATTAGAAATAGGATATACGATCCTAGTAGAAAGCTACTTCAAAATTTCCTTTTTCACCACTTCTTTCATCACTGGATTCAATCTTCTTTGATGCTCGATTGAAGTCTTGTACTTATCATCCAAGAAAATCTTGTACATACATAGAGAAGGGCTTATACCCTTGATGTTAGCTATGGTTCATCTAATAGCCCTTTTATGCTCTCGTAGAACTCTCAACAATTTTTTTCTCTTGCAAATTAGTTAGGATAGATGACACAATTACTAGCAACAAATTCTCCTTTCCAAGATATATTTACTTAAGATGTGGAGGTAATGGCTTCAATTCAAGTGTCAGAGGCTTCTCAATGGAAGGCTTGAGTGGAGATGCCAAAGCAGTTGATATATCAAGAGGTTCCACTAGGTTAAACTACTTGGGTGGAAAAGAATCGATACTAAATATCCCTATGTAATCTTCTTCCTCCATTTCTACAATGTTCTTCTGTCCCAATATTAGAGTTTCCAAAGGGTCCTCAACTAAGCGACCATTGAAGTCTCATGTATCACCTCATCAAGAATTCCTATGTAACAACATTGAGGAGATTCATTTGGAAACTTCATTGCCTTGCTCACGTTAAACACCACTTGTTCTTAATTTAATCTCAGTGTAATCTCACCCTTTTCAACATCAATGATGGTTCGGGTAGTAGCTAGGAATAGTCTCCCTAAAATGATAGGAATTTCTCAATCAACATTGACAATCTAAGACTATAAATTCTACTGAAAAGATAAACAATCCACCTTCACTAACACATCTTCAATAATCCCTCTAGGATAGGAAATGCTTTGATCAGTGAGAAGGAGTGTCAATGTTGCCAGTCTTGCCTCTCCTAGGCCCAATTTTTTGAAAATGGCTAAGGGCATAAGATTTACACTTGCACCCAAGTCACATAAAGCCTTCCCATTAAAGTGCTTCCTAATATTATATGGGATGTAAAAACTACCAAGATATTTTAGCTTGGGTGGAAGCTTTCTTTATATGATGGCACTACAATCTTTGATCAATACTACAATTGCAAATTCACTAAACTACCTCTTCTTAGATAAGACATCTTTCAATAACTTAGCGTATTTGGGTATTTATTCAATGGTTTCAGCAAAAGGGATATTAATATGAAGCTACTTAAATATTATTAGAAACTTCTTGAACTGAGCATCTTCCTCCTTTGCCTTGAATCTTTGAGGGAATAGAAGTAGGGGTGTTATAGTAGGAGAAGCAATTGATTTTCTATCTTTTCTTCCTTCTTCAATTCATCCTCTACATATTCTCTTTCTTCTTCATTATGAGGAGTTAGAACCCCTTCTTCCCCCATTTTCTTCTCATCCATTTTTCATTTCTTGTTGTCATCATCTTCACATAATATTTCTTCATCCACCTCCTCACTATCATCAAAATTAGCCCTACTGTGACTAGTCACTCTTGGGTCTATCACATTAGGTAGAGTCTTGCCTCTTCTCAAGTGTATAGTATTGCATTCTTCTTTACCTGCCCTCTTTGGATTAGGGATGGTGTCACTTGGCAAGCCTCCTCTATTCAAGGCATCAATTGTGCAGCAACTTGGCCCATTTGCACTTTTAGGCCCTTAATAGCTGTATCATGCAAAGTTAAAGTAGCTTTATTCTCAGCTCGATCAACTTCTTGATTCTTCAAATTTGAGCTAACATTTGCTCCATTTTAGAATCACCTTCTCTTAATTTTTATGGTGTGTCAAAACTAGGAGGAATAATCAGTCTAAGTCTAAAGGATGAGGTTGGATTAAAACTCTGTCCTTGACTCTATGAGAATTTTAAGTGATTTGTCCACCCTGGATTGTAAGTCTATGAGTACAGATTGTGTTAAGGAGGTCTCCGTACATTATTCATGTAGCTTATTGTTTCAAGAATGTAAGGGTAATGATCCAATACATGTCCTTTATAATAACCCTAAATTTTAAATTAATAAATTCCCTTCCAATTGATAATAATTAATTTTAATTTATGATAAATAAAGAGCAGTGATGTATTGGAATTCATATTGGATATTTATATAAAGGTCTAGAGTTTGAATTTTATTTTAGCCAATGTTAGTTTATTTTTATTTTTATTTATATGGAAAAGTGCTAAAGAGTCTTTGCTTTCTATTATAGAAATATTATAATACAAAAAATGAAAGGGGCTTCTTTTGAAATTTTCTCAATAAACTTTAGGTCTAGTTTTGTAAATTTCCCCATTAGTTATTATTTGAATTTCTTTGTACCTTCTTAGTTGGTGCAGTAGGCAGAAGAGAGAGGAAGAGCTCACAATTTTTTTATTTTCCTCTCCTTTTTTCGATCGTGTTCTAGGACCAGTGAAGTCTAGAAAACTCTGCCATTTCTTCCGTCTTCTCCTTCTCCCCTGCCATCTCCAACTACTTTAGGTGTGTGAGTGAGAAGAGAGTTCCAGCCATCGTTACATGGGCTTCGAGTTACTATCTCTCCTCCTTCTCTTTCTTTAATCTTATTTTGAGCTGCGGAAAGGGCCAGAGATCAAAACTCTAGACTTTTCTGTCGTGTGCTCTCTGACTCTGCTCTGCTCTCTCTACTATTCTACCCTTGCCACCTGTGAAGTGGAGCTTGTCACTCCCGTGTGATGCCAGGCCCTCAGTCGTGCTCCCTATTTTTGTCTTCCTTAGTTGCTGCTATCTTCGTCGTTCTTGTTCGCGTCTTGCTGTGAATGTCTGTGTGCTGCTGGATACTTTTCGTCCTCTTTCGTCTGTACATTATTAGTGTTTATGTGAAG